CTTCTACAATTCCCGACATGCAACTTTTCTAATAGTGATCGACAATTCTTCTTAACAATTTTCTTCGTTGCTTTAATATATTCTTTGATCCATTTTTTTTTTTTTTTTTGTTCATATGAAAAAGTAGCCAAGCACACCAAAATATGTCGATGAAGATTAAACGAAAAACGCAAAATGACTGACAATGTCAATATGGGGAAATATATGTCGTCATAATAAAAAAAAAAAGGAAAAAATCGAAAATTAAATGTACGCAGTCAACGAAAAATGAAAAGTCATCTCTCTTTATGAACATACCTCGTATGTCTAAAGTCAATTTCATGTGGAGGTAATAAGGCTTAACATTTTGATTTGTGTTCCCACAAGTTTATTTATGCACTACCTGAAGACCAATGCTATGCCTTTTTATTTACTTTTTCTTCCTATTATAATATATACATATATATATATATATATGCATATAGAATAGCATCTAAATCAATAGCTTAATAGACTTTGTTGATTTTATATGTAAGCAAACTAGAGAACTGGAGCATTGCTTAGAAATTACGAGATCAATTCTATATAGTAAAGAATAATTTGTTTAAATTTGAGTACAAAAAACCATTTATAGTTATAGGTTTGATACTGTAATTATTTAACTTGTGCTATGAATGACAGAAAAGTGAATACCACTATTACATAACGTGATTTACATAAAGTGAATACCACTATTACATAACAGGTGAAATAAAATATTTGGTAGCGGATCTTGGCAAAACCTTCTACTATCTCTGCCGATAGCATTATTTTATATTTCGCATTTATTTAAAAACAAAATAATAAAAAAAAAAGGCAAGATCGATATATTTTCCTTTTGTCCCTTGTGCTGCTTCCTTTGGTAGACAACAACAACTTATGGCACAGGATATATTAGGAAAGACTCTTGAGCCGAGACCCATTTTTTATTATACCGGTCAATTCAGAAAGTGGTTCTGATCTAAGTCTGTATGTTTTTTCGTCCGCATTTCCGTTCGTCGTGTCCGTGTGATGTTGCAATTTTTGAGATATTTTAATGAAACTGGGTACAACGACGTGTTTCGATCCGAGGACGAACGTTAAATGATTGGTATCGGTACAGTTTTCCGACCGCTCCCCAAATAATGCCTTATTGTGACAATTGGTTATGTGAAAAAAATACTCAACATTTTTCGAGAAAACTGACCATGAAATCGTATATCGATAAATTATAAATTGGTATGAAAAATTTGATACAATTGGGCCAATTTTTTAATCGCATTTCACGTAACCGTTCCTACGAAAACAGAATCTGTATATGATAAAAACGTATGATTTTTAATATATTTTGTGGTGAAAATTAGTCCATAATAGTAAAGCGACATAGAAACCATCCTAACAGAATTTGGACTAAGCAGGTCTAATATTATGGATAGCACTCCAGACAACGTAAATTCTTCCATTCTCCGATTTTCGGCTTTTCGTGAAAATAATATGTAACTTTTCGTGTGTTATTGCCAAAACGAGCGAATGATTGTAGTAGGTGAAGTATTATAAGGTATTTAATGGTTGGCCTTGCCCGACTATAATTTAGTTACTGGTTTTGCTTAATTTCTTCGGTTTCTTATGCATTTCTTTATGTTATTTTGTATGATCGTTTTATTTGTGTTGTGACATACGATACCATATTTTAGGTTTTCGAACTGAACATGAAACTTCTCTATAGATTTGAGAGCCGTGGATATGAAAAACTTTCTCTTGCTCGCCTAATGAGAGGTACATAGGGAAAGAGAAAGTGCATATCCTTTTTCTAAATGGATTACTTTTAAAACAGAAGATCAATGTAATATAAAAATGTGCTCTTATCACCTTCAAGTAAATCTAAGAACAACGTGTTGTCTATAGCTAAAATTAAATTTTTTTTTTCAAAACATTTGCAAATCTCCAGATTTCTCCTTTTTTCTCGGATCATGCTCTTGCTCAGCGCAATTGAAAGATCATTTAGTCAAGTTTGACTAAACTTGTATGGAACTTTTAACGACCCTACACACCCAATAGCCTAGGGACACCATCTATTTCTTTCACTTCGTTCATTCTGAAAATTTGACTGAAATGCTATATACACCTTGCTAACACTTGAAGATAGTAAAACGTTTCCTCAGAACTATTTCTCTTCTCGTTCGTCGGCAATTCGAATGTTTTCTAAATCACATACTAATTGAAAAAAAAAAAAACAGATTAGAGATAATGACTACACAATGAGAAACGGGATCTGGAAGTTTAATTTTTTTAATTTTTTTGTTAATATGGCCCGCCACGGAGAGAATGTCCCGTATTTGTGTAACAAGCGATAAGTGTTATGCTTTTATCGGCTGATCGGATTCATTATAGTGATGGCCAAAGAAAATTCTATCTCCATTGAGATTTGAACACGCACACACTGACTTGATAATCGGGATTCTTATCTGTTCGACTACTCGAGGCGGTGCCCTAGGGAAAAGTGAAAGAGAAGAATCTATGACGAAAGTTGATTATGAAATTGTTCGATGGAGAACTACAAGAACACAAGTTTACTATGAATTTTTTTCACGAAAATGCATTTTATTAGACAGCATTTGTTGAACAGCGACCCTTTGTGAAATTACAGTTTCCACGTTCAAATTAATTTTTTTTTTTGTGCTCCCAAGGGCGAGAATATCGAGTACACTTTGCGATTTTATCACGGAGTGGCTCACAATACGCGAACGTTTATCGTGAAAAAATGTTCAAAAAGTTCCAGTTATCCCAATTGTCCCATTAAATGTAAATGTTGCACATCGTATATTCATCAGGAAATTGGGTCGCCTTCAGCCATTTCTCTATTCAGGTCGACACGGTCCTGTTATTTAGCACGCATGGCCTTTTCTTTATTCAATTTATTTAACTTCAAACTTGACTTCTTGTTTTTTTTTTGCTAATGAAGAGAGACTCTTTCACTTTGAATTGATTTCAAATTGGCCCTGAGTCTTGGCACTCGCTTAGTACATTGGGAAAAAGTCGAATCAAATATGTTATGTAATGGTTTTCTTTGTCAAAATTACTTAGTTTTATAACAAGGAAATTCTGTAAGCGAATTAATTAAATAATTTAATTTGAGCTTACTAATGTGATCATAAAATTTGATTTTATTGCACTGAGCTCCGAAAAGAAGAAGTTATTAGATTAAAAGGCAAAAACGAAAAGGCAAAAAGGAAAAGAGAAAAAGAAACGGTAAAATCAATAGCGTAAATATATGTATATCTGGGTTAAAATGAAATTATAATACTCATACATACATACACATATATATATACATATATATATATATACACATATATACACATACATGGCATGTGAGTATGGAGAAAAATTCAAATGCTAATGTGTGCTCGGTTTTTAGTATCAACAGTAAAATTGTGTAGATAAACATCAACAAATGTAATGAGCGCATTAAACAAATTATCATTTTTCAGGCATCTGATGCTGTAACAAAATTGCTAACTTTGGCCGCCGACTGTAGTCAACAGTTGGTGGCAGTTGCGTTATAATTTTACATCTATTTACCTATGAAAATTCGAAATGTGTTTTAATTTTTTTTTTCCCTCGCCATCCCGCCCTCGCTACCCACATCAATCTCTCTCTCTCTCTCTCTCTCTCTCTCTCTCTCTCTCTCTCTCTTTCTCTCTCTCTCTCTCTCTCCATCTATTCCCATGTAAGCAAACATTTTGCGAATTTCAAGCCAAACAACCAAGCGCCCGTTTTATTTTCATGGATATTCTACCAGGCATTCATCTTTCTATCTCTTCATTTAATCACTACCCGAGCTAGATGACTATAATTAAATCTACCGCTATATGGTATTATAACACTTTATCACATGCAGGAAAACGAGGCGGAGAACGACGACGAGAGGAGCGTGTAGGTGTGAGTGAAATAAAGATTAAAGTCCATTTATATCTGCAAAAGAGAGAAAAAAAAAAAAAAGAAAAAAGAAATAGACTGTAGATAAATGGGCATGCAAACTTATGAAGAGGAGGAGTGAGAGTACATTTGCTTCATACATGAAAAGCGAAATAGTTTGCTAACACTGCTTATATGTGGAAAGGTTCTGTTACCTGCGAGGATGGTTTACAAAATTACGGATTAAATGAAAATTTTCCTTTTTCTTATATTTGTATCTTACGTCATTGTGCAAAATTTTTGATTATTAGTTTAAGACCTAAAAAGTTTTCACTTTTCGTTTGGTGGGAGAATTTTTAAAGTTGCAGAGATGTAGAAATATGGTGAATGTGTGCTCATAGAAATTTCGCTTTTACTGATAAATTGCTGCAATCTCATAATGCTTTCTTGCGAATGACAACCGATCACTAATGATTATATATAGATTTAGAGAACTTTCTAACACTCGCGCAATCATTCAGAAAACTCATAAGACGAGATATAAAAGTCGCCAGCATCGAATTGATTGAAAATTCATATGGATTCGGCCATTAAGTTATCCTATATCTGCATATTGTCCTGCAAGCTTATTAAGCGATGTGTTATATATATGTGTAGCTTTGCATGTCTCTCGCTTTTAATATATATAAGACATGGGATTCAAAAAATTGTTTACTCTAGATAGCAAAATATTCATTTAGAAAAATTTTTTCTATAAGCAATTTTTTCAATTCATTCAAAGTATCGAACGCAAAAAGAAATACTGCCGGTGTAAGTGTAAGTGTAAGCTGCGTTTTTTTTCACTTTTAGTTAATCCATTTTGTTCGTTTAGTGTACATTAGTTGATATTGTTGGTGTTCTTAAAATTGTAAAAATTTGAATAGATTCGATGAAAGTTTTTAACTACTATTCACAGATGAAGTTAATAGGAGTCTTCTAATCGAGTAAGAAACTCTAGCAACGAATGATTTTAATTCTATTTACAAATTGATTTCTATTCAAATTTTAAAAACTTTAAAAAGCTGAAAAAATCACTGAACTTGATTACGATTAGCTTAGCTTCGCTTGACCAATAAATATTTTGCCTTTTACTAAAGATTTCCATGATGCCGAGCACTCTAATGATTCTATAATCAATTTTTTATATAAACATTTTTCAATTTTTTGTGTTTTTGTTTTTTTCTTCTAAGTAGGACACAATAGTGTGTTAATGAGAGGAGTAATGTTTACATAACGTGACGCTTGCTTTACAATATTTATATATATATAGAGATTAGTTAGCCAAAAATAGGCAAGTTTTCAATGCGTAAGAGACGATGTAGGTACAGTACTTGTGCCAAAATGAATGAAACATTTTTATCTTTACTTCGTCACACGCTTGTTTTTAGGAATATATAGTTTTTCAAAAGTCGCGGTATATAAGCTTGTAAACGATCGCTTTGTTTTGTGCCAGGGTGCATTTGGACTTAAGTCATCCCAGTTTTTAAGAGTCCGCTGTAACCAGAAGCTTGAGAATCTTTTCTTCCTTTATTTTTTTTTTCTAACGTCAGGGACTATCTCCTGCATGCACGCGGAAAGAAGTGCGAAAAGAGGGCGGCTACCGCCTTGTGGGCCAAAGTATGGTTTACCGCTTTGAGATTTTTGTCCGCTGCTTTATTAGATGCGATTCTTATCTACTATCTAGCTATACAGGCACTGATGTTAACCCACACGAATCGGTTTAATAAAGCAGCTGATCTTAGATTTTACCAATTTTCAACTTTTATTTTCAGTGCTGCCAGGAACTTCAGAATAGGTCTGCTTTTAGCTAAAGTGAAACTTGTTGTTACCATTACAAAAATTAATCTCTCCTAACCATAATTTCAATTGCCAGCCGAATATATGGCATTGGAAATGCATTTAAGTAATATCTTCAACTTTCCGAACACACCTCGCATAATGAAGATAAGTGCTCATCTCCGAACAATGTATTACTTGCTAAATTGACGCACAGCCAAGGATATCAAAAATCAGGTAGAGTCGTGCAAACTAATTAATATTAGTGTTGAAATGAAACAAGTACAACAATTATATTCAGTCGTAACCGAATCTTTAATGCCCATCACCATTATCGTAAAAAAAAAAAAAAAAAAAAAAAAAAAATTTTCATGATCTCTAATATGGCGAGGGTGAGGTTAATTTTTTCTGTTTTCAATATAAAAGTTTTTGTCGCATAAGCGCGTGGGCATTGTAGGCGTGTTCTTCGAAAAGTTTAAATCACTACCAAATTCTTTTGCAAATTTGTAAGTATTATGTTTATTTTCCCTAACGAGAGAATGTTTATCACAGATACTACACAACTGGGCCAGATGGCCATGTTTATGTGTTTTCCAAATTTGAAACTGGCCAAGAATTAATAAACATTTAGGGTGTGTTTGAAACTTTTTTTCTACACACTAAATCTGAATTTTGATGCACTATAATATTGGGTAGGCGTGGTCAACTTTATTCATTTTTGTAAAGGTGTTACAGCGTTGTTCTTGTACAATTTTTGCAATAGTTTATGAGTAAGGAGCAAAAAACCATTTTTTTTTTGTTCCGTTTGAAAAACAGAGTTATTCGCGGTTTACATGGTGCTGTGGGTGTGCCCTTTGATCTGCTTGCAAGAACTTCCAATGGTTCTGACAAATTTGAAGTCGATAGTTTTATGATTGCGGTCAGGAGAGTGTTTACACAGACGGACAGATGGACAGATGGTCACGATTAAATCGATTTAGAATTTAATGCTGATCAAGAATATAAACACTATGTGACGTCTCTGATGCTTACTTCTGAGCGTTGCAAACGTTGTGATAAAATTAATATGCCTTTCATACTTCGGTGATGGGTATAATAATTATATATATTTTTAATTAAATTTATATAATTAAAATTACTTTACTTGTCAAATATGCATAAAAGAGTTCTTACGTTTCTCTAATTGAAATGCGGAAATTCTCAAATTGCTCGCATCCCGAAAGATAGACAGGAAACATAATTATTGTAGGAAACCATTACTACTACTACTACTACTACTACTACTAGTACTACTACTTATCAAACCATAGTTTCTCAATTTACTGAAGATTGCGACATTCGTCCTTCATATTGTCAATGTTGGGTGAAGTTGAAGAAAATCAAAATGCAACCGTTGTGCATATTTAGGAAGATATTTTGAGATTGGGATCTTTCACCATGAAAGACTATAAATTTTGAAGTAATTTATGTTACTCTTATGGTCAATGACGCGAATCGTTTTTTTTTTTTTGCAATTATATAATAACCATATTATTGTAGTAATCAAAAACTTTTAAGGGACACGCAAACGAAAGATATGACTTAAAAGAAAAGAAAAGAAAGAAAAAAAAAAAAAAAGAGAAAAAAGTAAGAAACTGTTAAATCAAACAAAAGCTGACACTGCGAACACTTTGATAATTTCAAGTGAAAAACTAATAATTAGCATCAAATTCAGCGCTTTTGTGGCACTGCTGGTGCTTCGAAATTCTCGTTCATTATGTAATCTGACATTCACATTTTGTTTAACAGTTTGGATAGTTCGTTTTGTATGCAAACATGAACAATATCTCCAGTAGTACTGGTTTGGTGCCAATTTTATTCGTTGTTGTTGCTGTTGTTGTTGTTGTTGTTGTTGTCGTTGTTGTCATTGCTGTTATTTCTCTGCGTTCTCTCTTTTAACAGTAGAAACATGATAACAACTTGTGTCGACATCAATGACATTTCTTTGTGATGTATATTTTTGGAAACGATGGTGGGTAGCATAGACGGATACCTCATTGTTGAACATCAAATAGCCTAAGCGTTAGATATGTCTTTTGTCTTGCTTTCAATTAAAATCTCTTGGGGAATTTTCTTTGTCTTTTTTTGAAGTTTTTGAAAAATACTCGATTAGTAAAATGATTCGTTTTGCATTACGATGCGTAAAACTATAAGGAAATTAAATGGGCTATCAGAAGAAAATACAATATAGGTAACGAATATATCGAATAATTTGAAGCATGCGGGCATGACACTATGGCGGTCCCAAACATCACTTTTCTTGGCCAAAAGTATTAAGTTCCTCTCGCCAAAATTGGTTGTGTCATGATTGGATATCAGATAAAAAGTGTCAATAAAAATCTATAGGACAATGGTTGATATCGTGAGTATTCTAAATTCGCCTTATGACGAATTCAACTGTGTAGAGAAACAGTTACATAGTCATTGCAACAAATAATAAGAATCATTAAAATGATTTACAGAATACCTGGGAAGGGAAAAATGGTTGATAATCCCTGGTCCTGTATTGAAAACAACCTGAGAGGGAGCAAATTCGTTGCGACTGTTGACCGAATGTTAAAAACAAGTTTACTGAGCAAGAATAGTGACGAAATATCCCATTGACTAAGTTTTCTTAAAAAGCCCATTCGTATTCCCAGGATCGCTCTTCCAAACTTTCATCACTAGGTAAATTGATCAGAAGTAACCGATCTTTGTACGAAAGTAAGGACTTGTTAGTAGCCCATTCTAAACGACGTAAAGCAATTGTTTTTGGATTGCTTCAATCACATCGACATAATGATGGTAAGTGGGAAGACCAAGTAATAGATGCATATATTAGTATATCAAAAATTGGTAGGTGTTCTCTAGCTAGTAGATGTTCGAAGAATTGCTTCTTAATTTCCATCTGCTATTCTAGACTTCGATTTCGTCCTCTTCTGCTTCGTTAACGAAAATGTAGTTTCGCAAACGTAAAGTGTTCGAACGAATCACAAATATTTTTGTGTATCCTCTGGATTTATAGAAGCATACAATGCCAGTATTGATTGTTTTTCCTGCAAATTGATTTGATTGCAAATTTATCAGTCCTAACTGTGAAGATCGACCTGGTCCAGCACTTACCAGTGACAGATCATTAATCAGTTTTTGAATATTTTCAAATCTAGTAAAAAAAATTCTTTTAATAAATCATTTGCTATCATCTCATTTCACTATATTTTACATACTTTTCCTATCGTTTCAAAGTTGGGAAGGGAAGTAAACGTTTCCTTTGATTTTGTTGGCAAAATTACAATGAAAATAGTTTAGATTTGTTGATATGGTTTGTTGAAAAATGCCTCTCTAAGTTAAATATCCTTTAAAAGCTGAAACAATTTCATTACAAAGCAATCCGACAATTTTGTCTCGTATATATATGTAAACAAGTATTTCATAGTTTAGTAGTAGATGTACACAGACGACAGATTATGATTCATTTTATGGGCTAATGAACAGTTGATAGCCGTATAGCTGCTAGGCTGCAGTGAAGACATATACAATTGCCTATGTGCGCCAACTGCTGCTCACATAAGCCTGTTTTACGGCAATTATTCCGAACGACAGTCCGAGTCACGTTTTGATTTATTTATCTACGGTTAAGCCCGCTGAATCCCTAATCAGGTAAAATCACACTTGCGCCCTAAGTTTAGTCCAGTTTCGGTTTCGTCGGGCAAAAGTAAAAAAGCATAAGTTAAGCTGAAAAGCCGAAGCAGCTCTATTCCTGCTCCTGCCGGGCAGTTGTGCACACGAACCAGCATTTATGTGCGCATATTTTAAAGTTCACTTTAAAGTTACGTAATGTTATTATGACATATGTTTTTACAATATTGTCAACAAACAAAAGTGATTTTGTTTTGGTTCATTAAAAATTTCAATTAAGAATTTTCGTAAATATTTGATTTTAATTGAACCTGAAGGCGAAGCGTTGTAATTTTGTTTCCTTTTCTTTCGAAAATTTTCCATTTCATTTATTTTGTACATTATTAAGGCGAGAGAGAGAGAAAGAGAGAGAGAGTGAGAGATGTTAGGAATAATTGCGCAAAACAACACAGTCTAATGCCACGATTGCTTCAAGGCATACACATACTGGATAAGTTCAATGTTTCCATGAAATGTTTAATGAAATTTCTTTGGGTGTTAAAAATTAACTAAACACTCGTATGCACATTACTGAATATAAAAGATTTGTTGCTTTTGTTATTTCCCTTAAAAAAGAAAATGTCATCAGTTACTTGACCAAATTGTAAATAATGAACGACCAGCAAAAAAACTTGTAGGGAATTAATTTGGATTGAAAACGGCATGTTTTCGAAAATTATTTTTGATCATATGTT